CTCAACATTGAACCATCATGTTCATTGGACTGTGCGGAGGCAAGCACCTTCCAAGATGCCCCGTACCGCTACTAACACGTCTCAGGCATCTGCGCGGGCAAGGCCTCGATAGCTTCGTACCTCGTTGAGGTGCACAACTTCAAGCGCATACGTCTAGCTCGCACTGCAAAGAAGTCGGCAACAAATCTGCATGTCCCGTCCGTCGATCCGGGTGCAGACGATACACAGCACACTTTTACAGACATTGACTCCCTGCTGGACTTTGTCACATTGCGATGGAAAGAAGCCTGGGTCACCACTGATATATGGGACCACGCGGACGTGGATGCACTGCTCAGGCGGCCTTTCTTCCTCTTAGTCAGCGTAGACGCACCGGTCAATGTGCGATGGCAAAGATTCAAGGGCCAATGTGCTGCGACCCAGCTCCCTCCACCTACCCTCGAAGAGTTCGTCCTGCGAAACGACGAGCACTTATTCGCCCCTGGCACTGGTCTCAGCGCACTATTCCAGCGAGCCCAGATCAAGCTGCTTAACTCGACAGCCTCGATAACGGCGTTGCGGGATGCAATATCGTCCCTCAACCTCATGGATGAAGCGCGGCTCCGGCCGAGCTGGGACCAGTACTTTATGCAGCTGGCAGATCTAGCAGCGCGTAGGAGCAACTGTATGAAGAGGAGGGTCGGCTGCTGCGTAGTGCGGGAGATGCGAGTGGTAAGCACAGGATACAACGGAACTCCGAGGGGGATGAAGAACTGCAACGACGGTGGATGTGAGTCAATGTGAGCCGTCGCTAGGAAGCAATGCTTATTCAACTTAGGCCCCCGCTGCAACAACGCTGCACGAGGTGGGGTCAGCCTCTCGACCTGCCTCTGCCTTCACGCCGAAGAAAACGCCCTCCTCGAAGCTGGCCGCGACCGCATCGGAAAGGAAACCACCCTCTATTGCAACACGTGCCCGTGCTTGACCTGCAGCGTCAAGATCACCCAAGTCGGCATCAGCGAGGTCGTATACAACCAAGGCTATGTGGTCGATACCGAGACCGCTAAGATCTTCGCTGACGGCGGCGTGACCTTGCGTCAGTTCTCACCGCCCACGGACGGCTTGGTTGATCTGAGTTTGTGCGTAGAATCGGATACGAAGGAGTTGAAGGTGAGGCCAGCCATTCGGGAACCGCTCAATGAGGACAGCCTAATACGGTCACTGAGCTAGTCAAGGAAGCAAAAGGCGCTAGCCTGATACTTTGCTGCATTAGTATTACGATATTTAACAACATAGCCCTCGCGCTGGTTCGACGCGCATCCTGTCTATCACAAGGACTCATCGCAGGCCATGAAGATTGCAACCCGTCGCTGATAGTCGTTATTGTGTTTCGCTCCTCCATGCATCCAAGCAATGTGCTGTGATTACTCGCTGCGATCAGTGTACAGCTGCGATCAGGGTTGATGATTCGGTATCGTCTGATCATCGCGCATCACCGCGTGTGTGGATACGGAACTGTTTCGAAGCGCTACATGTAGTGCACGCGCAATCATTGAGGTACCTCGTCAGGTTCAGGGCTGCCACTGAAACTTGTCTTGAAGGTTTCGTTTGGAGCGTCCACAAGTATAGAGTGGAGCCATCTCTTCCGTTTCTCGAAATATGCCGCTTGTTTAATGGCTCGAAAGAGGTAAGAGGCCAAAAGAGCGAGCTTACCAGTGCGTACCAAGATCTAGAGCCATGTGTCGTTGCAGACTAGTGATGTCGCATGGGATGAATGGCGCATGGTGGGAAGGTCACGCGAGCGCCCTCACGCGGTGCTTCTGTTTGCGACAACCTTAGCAAAAACTGCCAGCGCCCGACTCTATATGCCACAAACCTTGGACGTAATGCGCATATTGCTCTTGTCGCTTAGGTCTGACATTGCGTTCTGAAAGAATGGGGGTGCCTGTGCAAGGTGACTTGGATATTTGATGTTGATGAAGTCTTGACGAGGAAGCCAAAGGGGTTCCCGCAGTGGGACAGGTCAGCCACGGGACTGTCCGGCAGTGGAGCTTGTTTATTACAACGTTCCCTTGTCTTCTCAAGACGTTGAAGTTGCTCATAATTTCAAAATCAATACCAACCTTGCTTTTCATTACTCAAGAGTCAAGATGCTTGTGGAGAAGCGCGTTATCTCCCGCACGGACCTACATGCCCCATGCTTCACAAGGTAACTCAACATCAGCCACCAGCATCAGCGGTACATTCACCACGACACAGTTTATCAAACAGTCTTACCATCGACGACGCATGCTATCGCCCTGTGGCTGCGGCTCATGTCCCTTTCGCGTTGGTAGTACCCACGCCCCAGGTCTTGAAGCTCGACCAAGCTTCCACAAGCATCCGCTTCCTAGGCTTAATTTAGCCCAACCCCAGTAATCGAGATGCACTAGACGCCCCGCCGAATCACACAAGCCCATGAGGAGAGACCCGTCGAAGCAGTAGTCGGACGGCGCAGCGTGATTGTCGAACCGAGCACGCTTCAGGAAGGTGCAAGAACTCAGGCCTCATTTCTGCGTGCGTCATTTTGCGTTTACACCCACCGGCAGCCAGCGCGGGCCCGATAACACCGTCCATATGCCTGCAGTGCCGGCGTTGACAAGAGCTTGTGCCCGAGCTTGCTGACGTCCGCCAACCTCCTTCTATTATAGGCAAGGGCCAGGCTGGTACACAATAATGCCGTCATGTAGAAACCATTCAAATACCGCCATTGAGCCCCAGATTTATGTTAGTACGATCACGGTAGCTGCTTCGATCGAGTCAATCCTACAATGAAGCTCCTTTCAGTCTTTGGTACCCTGCTTTGCGCCTCTACAGCTCTCGCTGCAAACACGCCCCGCCACCGTGGCTTCCTTAACAAAGCGGCCAAGAAGCCGATTCTAGAGAGGCGTGTTGTTGGCGAGCCGTTCAGGAACCCAGAGATCCAGAAGCGAGCCTCCAGCTTTTTCTTGACAGAAAAGTCCAAGCGTGAGTGGTCCTGCTCGTGGATCGAGAGAAGATGCTGATTATTTGCTAGCTTTCGCCGTCAACGGTACCGGTATCCCTGAAGTCCCTTTTGACATCGGCGAGTCGTACGCTGGCCTGTTGCCCATCTCAGACGACCCGGAGGAGACGAGGAAGCTGTTCTTCTGGTTCTTCCCCTCGACTCGAACCGATTCCCCAGAGGAGGTTGTGATCTGGTAGGTCTGCACATCATCCTCACGTTACGCAGACTTCTAACATGAAGACAGGCTCAATGGCGGTCCTGGCTGCAGTTCACTGAGTGGGCTCCTTACCGAGAACGGCCCGTTCACGTGGGAAGCTGGCACTCTTGCGCCCGTCCAGAACCCATACTCATGGACCAACCTGACCAACATGCTCTGGGTCGAACAACCCGTTGGCGTAGGCTACTCGCAGGGTGTCCCGAACATCACGAACGAGGTCGAGCTTGGAAACGAGTTCCGTGGATTCTACAAGAGCTTTGTTGACCTTTTCGAACTCTACAACTGGAAGACGTACGTTACCGGCGAGTCTTACGCCGGATACTACGTCCCGTACATTGCAGACAGCTTCATCCAGGCCGACGACACCAAGTACTTTAACCTCGCTGGTATCTCGATCAACGACCCTGTCATCGGCGACGAGACTATTCAGCAGCAGGTTGTTCTTCTCCCTTACGTTGAATTCTGGCAGAACCTGCTGTTCCTGAACCAGAGCTTCATGGAGGAGATTACCCAGCATCACAAGGACTGTGGCTACACAGACTACTACGACACGTACTTCAAGTTCCCGCCGCCCCCAGGACCCTTCCCGGTCCTTCCTGACCCGTACGCAACCGAGAACTACACCTGCGACCAGTTTGACAACTTCTACGACGCTATCCTCGAGGTCAACCCCTGCTTTAACATCTACCACATTACCGAGACCTGCCCGCACCCCTACTCGCAGCTCGGCATAGTCAATACTGGCGACTACAGCCCGCCCGGTGCCGAGATCTACTTCAACCGCACTGACGTGAAGTTGGCCCTCCACGCTGATGTCAACTCCAACTGGCTGCAATGTACCAACACCAACGTCTTCGGGAACGGTACTGAAGATGGATCGGACCAATCGCCTCCACCTGCCAACAACGGCGTTCTGCAGCGTGTCATCGAGTACACCAACAACACGATGATCGGCTCCGGCGACCTCGACATGCTGCTCAGCACCAACGGCACTCTCTTTGCCATCCAGAATATGACGTGGAACGGCGCGCAGGGCCTCACTGAGTACCCAGCCACTCCGCTGTACGCGCCGTACCACCCCGAGTACAACGGTGGTGCTCTTGCTGGCGCTGGCATCCAGGGCTACTACACCAAGGAGCGTAGTCTGACGTTCTACGTTGCGCGTCTGGCTGGCCACGAACTGCCGGGCTATACTCCTGGTGTCGCCTTCCGCATGTTGGAGATTCTGCTGGGACGCATTGACGATTTCAGCAGCACCGCTAGCTTCACAACCCAGAGCGGTAACTTTACGGGCAACAGCACGATTTACAAGCGCGGTGAGACGGGCAGCATGTTGACTTAGCTCTTTGGACGGTTATTGACAACACGAGCGACATGTCGATGGACATGGTGTTGTTAGAAACTATAATAAAACTTTGTCTACAATACGCCTTGCATATAGTGTTTATGCTATTTGGGTTGTGATTTTTGAGCAGAGACCAGTATGAACTTTAAGTCGATCATATTTATCTCTCAACCCTTGCCTTGCCTGAGTATTCGTATTGATCAATCCCCTCTGCCAGTTTCTCGCTAGTTGTTATCGCTCTTATCCCTTTCCCCACTGCGGTCCCCCCTCTTCGCCATGTTCGACCCACATTGCAAAATCTTCCCTTTCCTTCCCAGCCCCACAACTTGAACCTGCGTACCGTTTGCAATCTAACTTGTCATTATATTTTTAGCAAATTGCCATTCCTCCATCAAATCACCACTAAAAACACAGTGGGCAGTACTTGAAATACATCTTGAGTAGTATAGTGGTCAGTATTTCCGCTTGTCAAGTGATTGGCAATTCGCGGGAGGCCGGGGTTCGATTCCCCGCTCGAGAGCTCTTTCTTTTTGCTTTTTCTATTTTTATAGAGAACTTTGCGTGGCTTCTGGAGGTGGATGGTGTAAAAGAAGTAAACGGTACGCGCACGGTATTCTTTTATGAAAGACTGTAGTAGCAGAAGGGCTTATATGCGCCTCTTATAGAGTGCGTAAGGCTGAGATACTTGACTTTGTTTTTGCTGTCCTGCAGGACGGGGACGGTGGATGATGTGCAGGTGGTGTTGTGTAGAATCCGTGGTTAGGCACCTTCAACTCCTTATTATTTACTAACTACACTAGAAATCTATCTCTCCCCCTCGATCGCGATCAGCCCCCCAGCTACGCCCCGAAACCCTCCCTACTAACATGCAGACAAAATCGGCTTCAGGCGCAATGCCTTTGAACGAGTCGGACTGGGCTGCTAACGCACCCGAATTGCCTCCCGCCGCCAAGAAGCACACCGTCGACCGCTAGAACGACATCACAGGCGATACCGGTACTGCCCCCGCAGCGTGAAGACAGCACACCAGAATCATGCGCGACATGTTGCCTAACGCTACAGATGCTTCGTGAGAACAATGCCTTCTCCGTGTCATTAGCACACTGCACCGCAAGAGCAGGTAGGCGAAGTCGCAAAATCGCGCGCACATCGAGCGCCTGAAGGACGGGAACATCGACGCGCTAACGAGCCTCACGAGTGCAGTACCGGATCTGCAGAAGCAGCTGAAAGCTGCCGCCGCCGAGATTGCAGCGCAGAGCGTGCACAGCACGCCGAGGCCGATCTCCAGTCGGCTCACGAGGATGACCTCAGAGAGGCAGATTGCAAGACTGCGGACAAGATTGATCTCGGAAAGTTAAACTCCTGGCTTACCTTACTCGAGGATCTCAGAGCTGTCCAGGCACGAGAGCGCGCCGTGAGCGCCAGGGTGGCTGCATTTGCCACCGAAGAAGCAGCGCTGCTAACAAAGTTACCGTTTCAGAACGGAAGCGGGACATCAATTAGCTGCTTCATAGCGCTGCGCAATTTGACGGCGCGCCCTCGGCCTTCAAGGCAATGATGGAGCGACAGTACCATGCTGGCACCATGCACATCGTTGCCAAGGACCATTCGAATGCCGGCGCGACTACGAACGCCGCTTCCAGCAGCTGAAGCAAGATGACGAACGCTACAGCCAGCTCCTGCCGGTCATTGAGGGTCTGCATACCCTCAAAGCAGCGACAATGTTCGTGCAGAACAAGCGAGAAGTCGCAGCACGCAAGGAGAAGGCAGAATCTGTTGATAAGAAGGCGAGCAAAGTTGCTGCCGACACGCAGGCACCAGCCGCAGAATTGGTCGCAATGACTCAGCAGGCCTTTGCTGCCGCTTTAGATGAAGCATTCACAGATAGCTCTGGTCTCGCCGCCCAGCATGCCATGTGTGATATGGCCGCGTACATGCTCATGTTTGAGGAAAACCTTCTGCAAGAGGAAGAAGACGAGCCATGGCCTTGGCTGCGCGAGGGTGATACCAAGAACCCAAGGTACCCCGCAAACCGGGGACGAGCGGTTGGCTACAGCTTGCAGATGCATCTGCTCTATCAGTCGCACGGCGCCAGTACTCACAGCTGCGTATGGCATGACGTGGACCTGAACGTTCTGTGTCGGCCAACTGGAGAACCGCCAGCCGCCATGGAGAACTAGTTCTATGCCGCCAAACGGGGCGCGGAAAACGCCAAGGGTGACTTCAATGTCCTCAGCAAGACGGGTAAACTACTCGCGAAGTAGCAGCTGTTCAGCGCTTCATGGCAGCCATCGCGACCAAACTGGAATGGACGTGGGTTGGGTTTAAAATTGAGTGAGAATGGAATTTTGGAAGTTGATCTGCCTCGTTCTCTGACGTGATGCTTGTGATGATGTCCACACCTCTTGCTCACGTGCATATAGGGCGCTGACTGCCGCTGGTGCTGAATCATGTCAATGGCGGAGAAAGTGGTACTTTCAGACTTTGAATAGGTGTACGGTAACCTGTGCCGTACACTAGACTCTCACCCCACCACCCCTCATACTCACACCCTCAGTCCCACCGCTCTTCTCCCATCCATCAGCCTTCCTTCGTCCTAACGCACGCCTTAGTATCCACTCCTTGGCCGTAACCTGCTCTTCTTCTTCCTCCCCACCCTCCACAAGACTCCTCAGCACAACATCATCTTCCGGCCGACAGAAGTAGACTAAACTATACCTCGTAAAACTCCCCTGCTCACCAGGCGGTGCAACAACGCGGTGTATATTACTCCTCAGCGTACCACTCGAGAACTTAACCAGGGCATCCCCAAGATTAACAATGCAATGTCCGGGCAAAGGGCGCACATACGTCCACCCATCCTCACACAGCCTCCTTTCAACCTCCGTCGGTGGAGATGTCGATGTAGGTGCAACAGGGGCGATGCCTTCCGGCAGTCTAACCTGCAGCCCACCAAGCCGATTAAACAACACCGTCACACTCCCAAAATCTGTATGTTCACCCAGCGCAATACCTTTCAGCGACTGCTCCTGCGGCGGCGCTTTGACAAAGCGGATCTGGTCGCCAGAGCGAACACCGAGTCTGTGTATGGCCTGTAAACCGCCTGCTGCGCGTACCTCTCGCGTGAGCGCAAGGCGCTCGGAGAGGAGCGAGGTGATGAGCATGCATATCGCGTGGGAGGATTGTATGTAAGTTTTGTATTGGTCGCGGTGGAGGTTCAGGAGAGCTGGGGAGGGGAGTGGTTTCGTAAGGGCTAGGATATCGTCTTTGGAGATCTGGACAAGTAGGAGTCAATGGACTGACAATATGCACGGGTGGAATATGAGGTGGTTTACGTTGTAGAACTCGTTCCTATCTCTCGTGCCCTGCTTGTCGATGATACCTTCGCCGTAGCCTTTATAGCCGAAGTAACTCCCTTGGTCCTTGAGGTCGTACTTGGTCTTCTCTTGCACATCGAGATCACAGAAGTCTTTCATCACCTCGAATAAGCGGTCCGCATCTTGGAGCAATGCGTCACCGTCGACGCCCAGTTGACCGTGTTCACCCGTGATGGCGTGGAAAGTGCGCAAGTCGAGGTAGAAGAAGCCTAGCTCGCAACAGGCTTTCCAGCATCTCTCATGTTCTTCGTGATCATCTTGAAGCAGCTTCGCAAGAGATATACGGAGCAGTGGCGCAGTAGGTATGTTATCTGGAAAGGGTGGGAGCGCAGGGAACGATTGGCCAGGCGATGATGAAGCGCGATCTGAGTGCGGCATAATGAATATACTGATGTTGGACGATATATGTTGGACGATATAGGTACGCATGCACTTAAGGAAATAAGGACGCGCATCGCAGTTATCCCCTCAGCTCCGTGTAGAGGGCGGGGTAACTGCGCAGGGCGGAACCGAGATAGCTTGTGATAAGGATGAACTGCGAAGGGTGGCACACGAGAACAGCAAGGCGAAGAGCACAACAAAGGATCAAGGAGACACATTCATTAACTATTGACAGATGTAGCATCGAAGTACCTTTCTCCTAGAAGGATACGCATGCCAAGCCATGCCTAGACAAGAGAGACGATGATCGCCAACTTGTGTCGAGGCATGGAACCATACGGACATCCAAAAGACAAGGCAAAGTTATGAACACAATTTAAGAAGTGGCCGTCAGGAAACAAACGCCGGGAGCGGAAGCATTATCGAACGTTTGAATGCGAACCTAGTTGGGTTAGAGAACGTAGTTGGTGTTGAGAGGGAGAGGCATACCATTAAGAGAACCATCTACAACCTAGAGCCGTGGACGACCTTGTAGTCAACAGCCATCTCGAGACCGTCGTCGTTGATGACGAGGATGCGGACACTGCCTCGGCCGTTGTCGAATGACTCGGTGAGGCGGGTAATAAGACCGCTCTGGTCAAGAACGGGAAGGCCCTGCTTGACATCGCCGGACTCGGTCATGGCAACGACGCGGCCGTCCTCGCGGATGTCGAGAACACGGTACTGCTTGAAGACAGGCCCAAGCATGTTCTGGACAACGACGGAGGGCGCCGGGTTGGAGATGAAGCTGGACTCCTCATGGAGTTGCTTGGTGAAGAGGTCAACACCGAGGTAGCGGTGCTGGCCAGTCTGGGAGGAGGTGGTGATGCGGATGACCTGGCAAGGGCGGCCCTGGAGGATCAGGAGGTCGCCGATGCGGATGTGGTGGCAGGGGATGGTGATGGTGTTAGTGGAAGCCATCTTGCGAACTGGGGCACGGGCAGGAGCTGATGCGACAAAGTAGGAGCTGCGGACTGGGGCTGGAGCGCTGTTGACAGGGGCGGCGGAAGAGCGGACGTGGGCAGCAGAGCTGTGAACGTGGGCAGAAGGACTGTGGACGTGGGCAGCAGAGCTGTGGACGTGGGCAGCGGAGCTGTGGACTGGGGCTACAGAGGAGCTGTGGACGCGAACGACCTTCTCGACAGGAGATCCCGAGTGGCTCGATGTGGCAGAAGGGGCGGCGGAGGTGAACTTTTCCTTGACGACTACTTCTTCGCGGCTGTCTTCGTAGTGGGCACCGGGGAAGGAAGCCTGGTGCGAGGAGTGGTGATGTCGGTTAGGATGGATGGGGTGGGCTACGCGTTCGGCGACCTTGTGGGCGACCTTGTGTGCAGCGTCGGAGATACCGTGACGGATGGAGTGATACTGGCCCTCGTTGTCGTAATATCCCATATGCTTCTTGGGGGTGTTGGCAGTGGCACGAGTAGTAGTGTCTACTCGAACCTCGGCTGGATAGCGGGTGTCGACGTTCCTTACCTGTCGGCTAGACGGGAAGGTGTCGTGCTTGGTGGTGAAGGTCTCCTTGGAGAACCCGGCTTCGGCGACGATGGGACGGGTGCGTTCGCGGAATTGACGCTCGGTGACGTCGATCTGGGAAGGCGCGTAGTCGGTGGCAGGACCGTGGACTGTGTTGAAGTGCCTGTCGTAGGTACTATCGTGAGCCTCAAGGTGGGTGTGGGAGGAGGAAGGTTGGGGTTGGTAACTGGAGGAAGAAGGGAAGGTC